GGTTTCACATCTCACTTACGCCGAGAAGTACTTAAGTGTAAGAAATCTTATAACGATCGTTGTCAAACTACAATTCATTAAATATAAACAAAATAAATTTATAAGCTACAAATTAAACCAAACTTGATATTATTTATGTAATTATTCTACTTTTATAATTTAATTTTAATAAAAACCTAGTTGTTAATCTAAAAAAAAAATAAATTGAATCATTAGATATAGAGATAAAACAAGAGATAAAATATTAATAATAATAAAAACAAATAGTTTGATCACACAGTCCTAGTTTATTACTTTTGCTACAACAACGTTTCAGCCATTAGGCCATTTTCAAGCGAAGAAACCTTTCTACATGAAGAAACCTAATTACACTCGTCCATTAATTATTTTCAATTTATATTTACTATTAAATACCTATTTTAATGATTAAAAACATTTGGACAGCATTACCCTTGTCGACTTAACTTACTTAGTCAGGCATTAAAACCTCCTTCAATCAGATTATGTTTATATTAAAGTTCTTCATTTAACTAACAACTTTAAAATTATACTATTGTACTATCTTTATGTATAATAGTTTCCGCTTACTTCAACACTTACTAGACAAACGTTATAAACTTCCAATTGATTACAGAATACTCTTATATATAACTGTAGCAAGGCATATTTGGACTTACGGAGTTGAGCTTTGTGGCTCCACTAAACCATCGAATTCCTCTCGTACCCAATCCTTAAAATCCAAAATCCTTCGTGAAATCTTCAATGCTCCTTACTTTGTCGCAAATTAAATACTCCATAAAAACCTTAATGTTTCCTATGTTTCCGATTTGGCCCAATCCAGATACCTACACTTCCATTATAAACTTCACAACTATCCGAATCCTCTCATTTCAAACTTTGCTTCTTCTTCGATCCCAGATAAATCTCCGAGGCGTCTGAAAAGTAGATGGCCTCGGGACTTTCTAATTTATAGATTTTCTTATAGTGATGAGTGATTTCTTTAGAAGTGTTCTCCTGTCATTGTATGACGATGTATCACATTTACTAGATTTATATTTGTTTTTATATAGTTGTGAAATTCATAAATAAAAAAATGTTAGTCTATTTTTAAATGTAACTTATTTAAAGCTATTTTTTTATTTTATTTTTAAACTAATATGTTTTCAGTTTAAGAATTTCTCTACTGTTTTTTCTTAAAAAATATGCAATTTATTTCTATTATTATTGTCCCACTTTTCTCGTTGAAAACGTGGGACAGAAATAACTTGTATATTTTTTATTGTATATAATTATATATTTTTACATACACACACATATATATATATATATATATATATATATATTTCTTTGATCGAACTACATCACTTTAAGTATTGACGCCTTATCATTCCTATACCTAATTTATTAAACTAATTTTAACAGTATTATGCTCAAGATTGTGATAGACGGACTGGGTTACGAAAAAAATGTTCTGGTAGAAATATTTTGGCAGTTGAATAAAGTACTATCTCTTGTCTAAGGAGATAAGAGGAATAAATCAGAGTGTACCCTGGCAATGTTGTTTGTTCTCGAAAGAAGATGAAATATATCGTGTTTGTTTCAGTTTCCGCCGATATCATGCCAAAGTACTCCAATTTTTCAGATTTTTGTTTACGCGAATCGAGCAGCAAATTGTTAAAACTACAGTATATATCTTGTTGATTAAGATTGTTTATGTTTATGAAATGGTAACCGGAAGAAACCACCACCTGTTTGCAAACACTAGCAATTCTCAAAATAATATATTTTTTTAATGTTGTAGAGGTTGTTGAACGTTGTTATAATATGAGAAAGAGTTTGCTTATATGTCCTTAATTATTTAATATTTATTGTACTAATGGACATAGTTAAATAGTATAAAAAAATATGCACATTAAAATTTCATGTAACCTCTGTAAGAGTAAATACCTAAAACAAAATGATAAATAAATGATCGGAAGCAAGTCTTTTTTTTTTTTTTTTAAAGGCTCATTAAAAGCTCCCTCATAATCCAGGTAGCTAATTTCGCCGGAAAACATAAATAAATTATATTTCCCTAATAATTTTTTTTTTAATTTTCATGTAAATTTAATCTGAGTAGTTCGAAACATTTTAGCTCAAATCATTGGACAAATATTATATTATAAGTTAAGTTTTTCCAATTTTTTGTTGGTTTCATGCAGTACCAGCTTAAGCTCCTGGGTTTAAGTCCGGTAGTGGCAAGTAATTATTTATTACAGAGATGGCAAATGCTACTCTGAGTATCGAATACCAAGTATTTTACTCAAATTGAATCACTATTTAGAATTCAATGACAAATTCAGTTAATCGATTGACATCAAAATTATTTAGTACTGAAATAAGGTCAGTATTTGAATAAAATACTTGGTTCTCATTCCTCAGGTTAGCATTTGGCCATCTCTGATTCTGTTAGATCAGCTGTGGGTATAAACTCTGCCATCAGCACAATCTCATTAATGTGGCAGTCAGCCTCTATAAATTGGGTACTCTTAATTAAAAAAATGAGGTGGAAAATCTGACGGTTGGGCGTGATCTCGGCTTAATCTTTTCCTTGTACAACCACAAGAGTAGGAGAGAGGGGAGTTAAAATTTAGCGGGGTAAGTTGTTCCACGTGAGATATCTTCAAAACTTAATTCATATAAATCTAGTGATTCCTATAGTACTAATAACAATATAAACTATGTTATATATTACCGATTATAAAGACTGATTAGCGAAATCAGCTGTTAATTGCAAAGTGAGTTATTGTATAACTTGAAAGTACTCCTTAGAGATGATAACAAAATTAATCTTTTAAAAATGATACCTTTAGTTTCATGATTGTGTAAAATTAGCAGAATTATTTGACATAATACTCTTAAGATATTGTTGATTAATCTTTAAATAAATGAGTACACACACACACACACACTATATATATAATGTTTTTCATTATCTATGTTCCCCGATAGAGTACATTTGTAAATTTCATATTCAAACATTCGTTAAAGGTACGCCCCCCCAAAAATCATTCGGATTTATAAAGAAGAAATTATAAGCTAGCATTAATTTTGTTAATAGGTCATTTTCGAAATAACATTTGAGACTGTTTAAAAACCGGAACTTTTATTTACGATATCAGCTGTAGCATAGATTTAATTTAAACCAACTTCAATGACTTTTTTTTCATCAATGAACTTGAATAATCTTAAATAAAGTCATCAGAAATTGTTGATTCGTGTGAATAATTCGCATTGTGTATTGGTTAGTGAAAAAAATGACAATATCATGTATAGATAAGTAAGTAGAATAGAATAGATGAAATTATTTCCTTTTTCTCAGTGGAATCACATTATTTCATTCATGTAAATAAATAAAAACATATGTACATTGCAGTAGGTTGTATCTTGCTAAAAATCGTCCGATTTTCATGATTTTTTTTTTAATTTTTATCTTTTATTTATTTATTTATTTATTTATTTTTTTGTAGGGAATTACGTAAGGATATTACCTCAGGAACATTTTCTTATTCTGAATAATATCCCTTTCTTTATTAGTCTGATGCCCTTCATTTGTATTGAAAGAACATTATTTAATTTTAAAAAGTTCATTTTTATCTATTTTATTTTCTCTCAAAAAAAAACAATACTTTTATGATTCTGGTACCTCAATATCAAATCCAACGATTGAGCTTTGAAGATCTTTTATCTCATGTGAGAAAAATAGTTACTTCTTCCCGAAATTTCAGGGGGGAAAAGTTATGAAGAAAAATAACTTCATTTGAAAACAGCTTAAAATGTTTTTTTATTTATTTATTTAAAAATGTAATAATCTGTCACGTCAACAATAATTATAGTGAAGTATGAACATATTCACACCATATATACAGAAAAGATAAAATTAACTAAATTAAAATAATAACTAAATAATAATCAAACAACTATGTACAATAAAAAATAAAATAACCTAACGATAAGTAAATTAAAAATATAAAAACTCAGTCACACCTTGTAAACATTTTTTCTGATTATATACATGAATATTTAAAAGATTACATAATCATATACAAAACAAAAAACAATCATCGAAATCTGACGATTTTTTGTAAGATAAACCCTATTGCAATGTACACATGTTTTTGTTTTTTATCCAGAATGGAATAATGTGATTCCATTGAGAAAAATAAAATTACTTCAACTATCTCATTCTACATAATTATTTCTATATTATATTGTACTGTGTTCATTGACCTACATACGATACGAATTATTCGCAACTGACCAATTAGTCGTAATAATTTCTTAAATCTTGTGTATTTCACAAATCTGTAACAGTTCTAAGTGACTAAAAAGTAATGTTCGCAAGGACCTTACGTGATATTTTACACTTACAATTATTGTAAAGTTGAAGATAAAATATTACAAACAATGAAAATCTTTCGTATACTGAAGATTAATATTGTTAAATATCTACTTAGGATTTATCTATTGTTTAATTTGAATTTTCAAAAAACAAAAACAATTATTCTTGATACCAAATACGGACATCTGTTATTTTCAGAAAGTGGAGGAAAAGTCAATTTTTGTTTTATAGAATTAAATCTGATGATTCAACATTAATGATTCATCAACAGTTTCCGATGATTTTATTTAACAGTGGTCAAGTTGATTGCTGAAAAGAAGTCTTTAAGTTTAAATTAAAGCTATGTTATGGTGGAGCTAAAAGTTACGATTTTTAAACAAACTCAAGTATTATTTATAAAATGACCTATTAACAAAATTTATGCTAACTTAAATTTTGTTTAAAAGAAATTAGAAAAACTTTTGGGTGTTCCTTTAACAAATGTTTTTATATGAAATTTAGTATAGAGGAAAATAAACTTTCGTCCTTCTGCAGTTTAATTTATGTAAAATATTTGTTATTCTCTAAGTTATTTTGTATTTATGTATTGTATAATATTTATTCTCAACAAAGCATGTTTTCTTTTATGACATATGATTTTTAAATAATAACTGTAATTGAGTAACTATTGCAAAAATTAAAAGAACCGAAAATCGAGTTGGTTTTGAATGGGTTGTTTTGATTAATGCTCGCTTCATTCATATCAAAAGAACTCTCAATTCAGATACATTCAATAAAAAATATAAGAAATAGAAGGCTACTATTCTATTTTAAAAAACAAAGAACTGTACTTAAATAAAATCTGTGTATATTTTAGATTGGTTTCCTTATGCTTAATGACCTCCAATTAGTCTTGTATAATTAAGCTAAAAATAGAGAGATCTGATAGCCTTTGACTTTTGACCCGGGTACCATGACGCCCGACGCCGCCCCGAGGGTACGACTCTACCACGGAGGTACATCGACACAGGTACCAGTGCTAGTAGTACTGACCTGCTTGAAGCCCCGGTACATGACCCTGATCTCCTGCCTGGTGAACTTGGTCTGCCTGCAGAGGTCTTCGAGGGCGACGGGTCTGTGCTTTGGAAGTCTGCTCGGCTCTAACTCGTACGGAGCCTCCTCGATCGGCGAGTCCGGCGGCGTGGCCATCCTCTGCTGCCGCCCGCCGTACTGCCCGGGCCGCCGACTGCAGCGCTCCCAGCGGCCGTCTCCAGCGAAAGGTATGCGCTACTGCTTGCAGCGGCCGAGGGGGCCCACCTCCCCCCCGCTTGTTTCTTGTTAGGCTTACAAGAAGTTGGACAAGTTAAACATATAGTATGGTTACAAATTGGTAATATGAAAAAATATAATCTATATAAATAAAATAAAGATTTTGTCTGTACAATGAATAGAATCAACCAATTTTTACTTACACTTACGTATATATATAAAAACTGATTTATTTTCTTATAAAACAATTTATTTTTTCATTTTGATTGTTTAATCTTCTCTCTTCTGTCATTTAAGTTAGATATCTATAATTTCTTAAAACAACTTAAAATTTCTTAAGATAACATTCTAACCCTCTCGTTTCTAACCTTGCTTCCTTTTCGATACCTGACAACCCTCCGAGGCGTCTGAAAAGAAGATGGCCTCGAGATCTCCTTTTGTAAATACATTTTTAGAGTGCTACCAGTGGGTAGTTCCTCACCAAATGATTTCATGCTATTATATTCTATTGTACACATTTACTGAATGTATTTTTACTTGTAATACAGTTGTAAATATCATCAATAAATAAATAAATAAAAAAAGATAACATTAAAACAACTTCATCAGTTTGATCTCAAAGTGATAAGGCTGCTTAATTAATTGATAACTGTTTTTTTTCTGAAAATTCTATATCAAATTATTAAACCAAACAGAAATATTTTAAATTTATCTTGTTCATTTGTTTTTCTCTTGGTGATTTTTAAGAATTTCTTGTGTAGTCTTTCTAACTTTATAATGCATTATTATTTTAAAACTGTTAAAGAATTTTGAAAAATATTTTCTTATTAACATTTAATTAGAACATTAGTCTCAGAAATCATTTACACTCCATTTTAAGCTATACGTTTTTACTAATTTGTTGAATAATACTCATCTAATATGTAACGGTAGAAATTTTGGGTTAAAGTTGTCTGATTAATTGTATTTGTAATAATTATAAACTTTGTAACCTTTTTTTATTATAGGACTGTGTAATGCTTCTTTCAGTAATTTATTTAAATAAAGAATAATTGTTTTAAGACCCGTAAAAACTACTTTGATCAACATAATTCCATTCTGTTTGAATAGTAAATGAAATCAAATGGTAGTTGGTAAAGTCCAAAACTTTTTCCATCGAGTTGTAAGAGTAAGTATTGCGATCGTGAACATTTTCGAATCTCAGTTTTCAACGGAAATACATGTTTTGAGGGCCCCTGAGTTCAAATAACCAAGTGTCGCAAAATGGTCTGTGTGTGTTAACAGTCTAGCTCATAAACGAAAAGTAGAACGAAACTGATATTAAGTATTTAAGGTTGGTAAATGGACCAGATATGACTGCAACTTTTTCGTTAAAATCGGCTAACCGGAAGTGCCACTCTATTTGAACGCTGAAACATATTTTTACAATTTTCTCAAAAACAACTGTAACGATTTTGATCAAACTCGGTGTATCATTGTATAATTAAGTGGTCTTTAATATCATTAATATTGATAAAAGTACCTATAATATTTTTTATTTTAAAAAGCTAACGATTTCGCATTATTAAGAGTTACGAAAAAATGCTACATTTTTGAAAGAAATTTATAAGTTAATAAAGGAGAAAAAAAAAATGCAGAAAAACCTGCGTTGCTATAGATTGTAGCGCCTAAACAAACTGTACCGATTTCAATGAAACTTCGAAAAATTCATTTTTCCGAAACCCTTTAAATTTATTTATATATCATACTTCAACGAAAAGAAGCTGGAAAAAAAGTTACGAGGGATGTTGAAATTAAATTCCGAATAACTCAAAAAGTATACACTTTTTTGTGGATATTGTAATAAGATTAAAGAATATTGTTAATGGGACAATTAGGAGGAAAGATATGGTCTCTAGTTTTTTTTTTTCCCCCTGAAGAGGCGAAAATTTGGATAAATTTAAAATATATTTTTTAATTGTTGAGACTAAAAAACCTTTTTTCTACAGATATTTAATAAAGTGTCTTTCCTAAGAACATCTTTCATAAGAAATAAGTACTTAAATTTATACCTTTATTCTCAATTCTATATTTCAATACTGCAATCACCACCTCTGTAATCAACTTACTCATTGTCTGCAAAGATAACTTTTTCAACTAAAATGACATCACTCAAAAATGTTGAAATTGGAGTTAGTCATTCTGTGGTTTATAAAAGCAAAGAAAGTGGTGTGATGTATAAAAGCAGATGGAGTGACTAGATTTTTATTGCCTGTCGTCGATATATTAAATAGACATTTTGTAATTATAATGGTCTTAATGACTTATTATCTGTAAGCTTTAAGCTTTAGCTCCATTTAAAATGCATTTCAAAAAATTTTATAATAGCCCAGCATTGCCAGAAAATAATTTCTATTCAAAGTAGATCGGTAAGTGAAAGTTGTGTGTTGCGTGCACCAGATTTTATGATATATTTCCGTTTCATACATAGCAGACACCAAATCCACTTTTAAGAATTTTTTTGTCTGTCTGTATGTCCGGATTGAAACGTAATTTTGTCAGGGGTAAGGTCAGCAACGGCTAATTGTACACTTTTGAAAATTTGACATTATATTAAGGTTTGATTGACTTAAAACATAGGTTTTAAATGAAAACAAAATATTGAATACAACAAGTGAATACAAAGTTATGAATTATTGAGTAATTTGTCTAAAGATCTCGGTTAATGTTAATAATAAATGTTAATAATAAACATATGTTTACAGGTTAATGAACACCTATATAAATGAAATAAAGGTTTTCTCTGTACATTCAATAGAATCAACGCGGTTCATGATATCTTTCCGTTTTATACATTACAGACACCAATCCACTTTTCCAAAAAATTTTGTCTGGATGTTCTCATTATGCAACGAAATTTTGTCAGGGGTAAGCTCGGTAATGGCTAATGGTAGAATTTTGATATTATATTTAGATTTGCTCAACTTAAAATATAGGCTTGAAATGAAAACAAAATATTGAGTAGAACCAAAGTTATGATTTCTTGAGTAATTTGTCTAGAGATCTTGGTTAGGCAGTTACTTACTTCGATTCCCATCCCAACCTACTCTAACGCGAGCCACATTTAAAAGTTGTACTACTCAACTGATGGAAAAAATTATCACAACTCAACGGGAAAAATCCGGAATACCGAACATCTGTAACGCGTTGTCGCATAAAACAGGTAAAACACACTCATTTTTCAACTTTGTCCGATCTTCCCGTTCAAGGTGTCATTCGATTCAACTTCCCGAGCCTCACAAATGTTGTCACATACATTTTTAGGATTCACGGATATTCAGATCAAATTCTAATTTTACATGGATGTAGGTGACTCAATGTCCAATGTTATTTTTCCAGCGATAACTTCAGCAGAGTTTAAATAAGTGGAGAGACTACAATTCTTATTAATTATTTCAATCGACTCCACAATCTCCTCGCTTCATCATAACTGAAAATTAAACACTTAACTAATTTTAATGTATTGGAGGTTGATCGGTTTAATTTTGTGATACCTAAATAAATAGGCGAATAACAAATTTTTTGTTATGACTATTGAGAAACCTTGACTTCCATAAGCCCCGCCATAAAAAATTTCAAAACAACCTCCCTCTTCCATCCCGACCCAATTTTATGAAATTGAATTTCGACCTCTCCTCCCTTTCCCCAACAATACCAAATCCATCTCAAAAAAAGATTCTTCAATTTTAACTATACAGTCGTTAACGACGGGTGCATCAGCTATTCATATAATAATATAATTCGGCAATAAGGCGAATAATATAGATATGAATAATATAGATTTTTAAGGAAATTAAAAATTTGTCCGAACTGTAGTTTATTTTATACTAGCTGATGTACCCGTCGTTGACGAGTGTATAATTAAAATTTGAAAATCTTTTTTTGAGACGCATTTGGTATTATGGGGGGAGGGGGAGTTCCTAATTCAATTTCATATAATTGGGTCGGGAGGGTGGAAGGGAGTTGTTTTGAATTTTTTATAGCGAGACTTATGGAATTCAAGGTTTCGCAATAGTCATAACAACTTTGTTATTCCGCTATTTGTTTAGGTGCCACACAACTAAACCGACCACCACCGATCCATTAAAATTTGTGTTTAATTTTCATTTCTGATGAAGTGAGGAGATTGTTGAGTCGATTAATTAATCAAAAAGAGTTGTAGTCTCTCTACTTCTTTAAACTCTGCTGAAGTTATCGCTGGCAAAATAACATTGGACATTGAGTCACCTATACCCGTGTAAAATTGATCTGAATTTTTGTGGCGGGCGAGGTGAATTTTCGCTAATCCGTTAATCCTAAAAATGTATATTTCAACATTTGTTAGGCTCGGAAATTTGAATTGAAAGACATCTTGAACAGGAAGATCGGACAAAGTTGAGAAATTAGTGAGTTTTACAAGTTTTATGCGACAACGCCTTTCAGATGTTCGGTATCCCGATTTTTTCCAGTTGAGTTGTAATAATTTTTTCCATCATTTGAGTAGTACAACTTTTAAATGTGGCTCACGTTAGAGTAGGTTGGGATTAGAATCGAAGTAACTGCTAAACCGGGATCTCTAAACAAATTACTTAATAATTCATAACTTTGGTTCTACTCAATATTTAGTTTTCTTTTAAAGTCTATATTTTAAGTAAAGCAAACGTAAACCTATGTTAAAATTTAAAAAGTCTACCATAAGCTATTGGCGAGCTTACCCCTGAAAAAACTTCGTTGGACAATGCAGACAAAAATGTTTTAAAAAGTGGATTTGATGTCTGTAATGTATAAAAGGGAAACATATCATGAAACGGGTTGATTCTATTCAATGTACAGACAAAAATCTTTATTTTATATACATTTATGTTCTTTAACCTATAAACATATGTTTATTATTAACATTTATTATCAACATTAAACGTGATCTCTAGAAAAAATACTCAATAATTCATAACGTTTGTTATATTGAATATTTTGTTTTCATTTAAAGCCTATATTTTAAGTCAAGCAAACCTTAATAAAATGTCAAAATTTCAAAAGTCTACAATAAGCCATTACTGAGATTGCCCCTGACAAAATTTCGTTGCAATGCGGAGATACAGACAGACAAAATTTTTTTTATAAGTTGATTTGATGTCTGCAATTTATGAAACGGAAAGATATTATGAAACTGGTTGATTCTATAAAATGTACAGACAAAATCTTTATTATATTTACATAGATTTATAAAATATAATACAATATGAACTCCAGAATACATATAAATTAAAGTTAAACATTTTGAGCAACGAGTAGTGCAATTATATCAACAGTTGTATAATTTGGAAAATAAGGGTTGATCCGCCGTCAGACGGACAGAGGGAACCTCTCTAGTTTAAAAAAAAAAGTATATTCAAGAGTCCGATATTATATTTTTAAGATTTTTTAAAGCATTATTCTACCTTCAACGTAACTTTCAAAATAACTCATTAACTACTGCATAATCTAATGATTCAAACTAAACGTAATCGTTTTAATGAAACTGAAACTCCTTAATCTGAATTCCGAAAATGTTTGGTTTAACCAGATGGTTTAAAATGACATATTGATTGACTAAATTTTAATGCCTCTTAGATTGGCATAGTAGACTTATGCAAATCTTTAGAATTTGAAAAAAATAAAAGGAGATGATGCAACGGTACTTGCTAAGACAGTATTAATTTAAGTATTAATGCATTAGAAGATTAAATGGTTTGGGATATAAGAAATGTTTTATCGGTAAGCGTGTCTTTGAAATCTTAGTCAACGACCTTTGTATCTTGTCACTGTAAATAGACATTAATGACTAAATACCGGATTTATGGAAAAATAAAATATGCCACGTGGTAGAAAAGAAAAACCTTCAAGTATAAATTTTTTTTTTTTTTTTTAATTTCTTTATTGAGTATTATAACAATCTGTCTGTTGGACATTGGTTATAGTGAGATAGGATGACATTCACACCATATGTACAAAAAAATAAAATAAATAGAACAAAATAATAATCAAAAACAAAATAATAATCAAAAGTATAAATTAAAATCTTGGTAAAATCATAAATAATAATATTCAATATTAATTTTAATGTATAATATTTATGAATTTTAATTATAATTTGCAATATTAAGAAGGTAAATTATGATAAACAAAATAATAATAAATTTCATTTATAATCTATAAAAATAAAATAAAGGTTTTGTCTGTACATTAAATAGAATCAACCCGTTTCATGACATCTTTTCGTTTCATACATTAGAGACACCAAATCCACTTAAAAACAATTTTTTGTGTGTCTGTATGTCCGCATTGTCCAACGAAATTTTGTCCGGGGTAAGCTCTGCAATGGCTAATGGTAGACTTTTGAAATTTTGACATTATACTTAGATTTGATTGACTTAAAACATCGGCATTACATGAAAACAAAATATTGAACAGAACCAAAGTTATGAATTCTTGAGTAATTTGTCTAAATATCGCGGTTAGGCAATTACTTCGTTTCTCATCCCAACCTACTCTACCGCGACTCACATTTAAAAGTTGTACTAGTCAACTGATGGAAATGATTATCACAACTCAACGTCAAAAATTCGAAATCCCGAACACCTGTAACAAGTTGTCGTTTAAAACACGAATAAAACACACTAAAACCGAAATTTCTCAAAAGATTCTAAAGATTCTCAAATTTAAGCCATACACTCGTCAACTAGGGGTACATCCGCTAGTTGTGCTTAAATGTTTTGTAAGTTTTAACCCCGACTTCGCTCACAAATATTACTTTTTCATCATTAAAATTTAAGTTATAGCAGATTCTTGTTATTTATAAATTATTTTCTCACAACTTTTTGCATATGGGTCGTATTCAATAAAATAAACAGGCTCATGGTTTGGTAATTACACTTTATTAATACGTCTTTGGCCCACCTGTTTTTATCTTATCACCCATAAGTGCACGCACGTGTTCTCAGCAAAAATTACTACAGTAAATTGTTGAAAAGCTTTAAATTTCTTTTTTTTACCTGAGATGTGTGATAATAAAGATAATTGCATAAATGCAAGTTTTAATTATAACAATAAATTATGTGAAAAATTATGATTCTTGAAATATTTATCATCTCATGTAATAATGAAACCATCGTTTAAATCAATACGGACACAAAGCTTATTATATAATAGTCCGTGGTTTATAACATAAAAAGGTGGACTTCGAAAATATTGAGCCGTTTGGTGTGACCTGCACCCCCAAATTTTCAAAATAATAAGGTTATATAGAACAAACGGCGCAATATTTCTGTAGCCCACCCTTTTTATCGATGTTTGTGATCAAATTATCTTACCCTCCGAGACGTCTGCAAAGAAGATGGCCTCGGTACCTTCAAATATAGAACTTTGATTTGAGTTCTATCAATGGATAGTTTTTCGTCATGTTACCAATGTCACATTTACTTATTTTATTTTACTGTAATTAAAATAAATAAATACAAAAAATATATCTTATAATCAAAGTATAAAGGAAATGAGTATTTAAGAGTTTTTAGTACCTAATTAAATAGATAAAGTTTTCCCCCTCCAGATCGAAAACGTCCCAATTTCAAGAGTTTTTGTAAATAACATAGTTTTGAAATGAAACCACGGAATATAAGGAAGTTTTTCTAAAAGTATAGTATAGTTAGAGAGTGATAAAAAAAGTCGCGAATAATTTATGATTTTCTTTTTTTTTAAACAGGACTTCTATAAGTTAAGACGCTTAAAATTTTTCCCGATGAATAACTCTAATTTCGTTTAAAGTAGATTTTTTCTAGTTTATTGTGAAGTAGTTATAAGTTATTTATAATTACATATAGGAGATAGTCCGGGGTGGCAATCATAGAAAGACTAAAATATTTTTAAAAAACTATTTCATTTAAAGCAAAGAATTTTATTTGATTTTATTTAAAATCAAATAAAATAGTTGTTTTTTTACTATTTTGATCATTTAATGACCACACCCCGGAACAACTCAATAATATACCACTGTCAACCATCAAGTATTCTTCAGTTAGTCACTTAATTTTATGTTTTAAATTTATTTCTGTCACATTCTGTCAATTGGGCATTGCCTTTAGTGAAGTAAGATCACATTCACACTATAAGTAAAAAAATAAAATAAAATAAACAGAAGAAAAATAAGAAATAAATAATAATCAAAAAGTATATATAATTAGTTAAATTAAATAACATAAAAATAAGGAAATTAAAAAAAACAAAAAACACATACATACCTTTATACGCAATTTATAATCGGGCGAGGGAACTCCGAAGCAAGGTTGTCCCTTCAACTATGGAAGGAAAATCAGGACTCCAGGAGTTCCCAAGGCTACTCTCTCAACCACGTTACTGGTAGTAAAGCCAGCGAAGATTGATTGAGAGTAGTTGACCAAATGCGAGACCAAGACGATTCTTGGCATTCTGCACTCAGTCTTGGTCTTCCGCAAGAGCCTCGCAACAGTCTTTATTGCTATAGAGATATTACTATAAGTTTTTAGATACTAGAAATCTAAGTAAGCCAGAATGAAAAATTAGCAGAGTTAAATGCAAAACTACATTCTTTAGAAAGTATATTAAACGTAATTCCAATTCTTTACATATAGTAACTAAAATTGTAAAGTATACTATTGTAAACTAAAGTATTAGTACCTATTTTTATTCTAAAAATCGATTTTTTTTTCTTTTTTTGCAAAGTGCAACACCAAGACCGGTTTTGGGGAAATCACTAATTGAGAGCGCATTGATTACTCAAATTAATTATTTGTTCAATTGTCGCTTTGTATTATTCAAAGATTATTTTAAATTATCCCATTATTAATATTAACGTTTTTGTAGCATTTGAAGTCTACTCTCATCTCTTCAAATACTTCATTGTAGTTACGGGGCATGTTGTGTATGATGTCAAACTGATGGACGGTTGACGAAACGTATGGTAGCGATTTCTGTAAGAGAGGATATGGTTTAATTTATAGAATACACTTGCGAATCTGCCGAAGGAATTAGAAGCTCTGGACGGGAGTTGTCGAAGGATCTGTGGAGCAAGACGATCCAGGTGATTTACAAGGATATCTATAGGTAAAGGTAATTGACCTCGCAGTTATGGATTTGTTGAAAGAAGAAATTATTTTATTGTTATTATGCAGAATTGGAAGGATTATGTAAGCAGTCGAAATATGTTTTTGGCTGATTCCTTGAATCTGTCTTCATCAATCTGAGATTAAGATTCTAAAAGAGTAAAAAATATACTATGCTATATGTTCTTGTACGATTAATACAGATTGTTTTTTCAAGAAAGTAATACCTCTATCAGCAGATGGATTAGTAAGCCTGAGAACATTGGTGTTAGTGATTTACCAGTAGTGTATAAATATAATGAGATAATGAGGGAGGACGTCATTCGTCAAGATGTTGAAGCTGTGTGCGTGTTGTCTACTAGTCGCTGGGTTGTGCTCATGTAACTGCCTAGAAGTTGGAGGATCTGAAAACAACCTCGCCGCGAAGTCTGTCCACCTCAGCACCTCAGATGGAAGGATGGTTGATGATGAGGTGATGAATAGAGGTGAGTTATCCACTGTAATAATTCATCTTAGAAGTATTATAATTACTATCATTGAACTTAAAGATACATTTTCACTGCTACTGCTCACCACAGCGAAAGTTCGCAGATGAGTACTGCTTTGAGAGCATATACCATGGTGAATCGATCATGAAAATCTTTAAACGCGCGGAGAAGGTTATGGCAAGGTTTTTATGTGTTTGATTATTTGTTTTGGTTTATCATTTTCAATAATCAACCATTGTGATCGACCAAAAAATTCAAAAACTTAACCCTCTCTCAAATTTGAGGTTTCACGTTTCAGGACCCGTAGGATTCGAAAAACGAATACAAATTTTTTTGTCCGTCCGCCGTACGCCGTCCGCGCATTTTCTTCGAAACTACTCGACCGATTTTTTTCAAATTTTGAAATAAAATCAGAGGTCACCCGAGGATGATCCTCCTTCATCGACATTATTATCCGCCTTTTACTTTCAAAATGGCGGCCGAAAAACCTGCGTTGCTATAGACTGTAGATCCTAAACGAATGTACTTGGCTTTGGCCATTTTAAAAATAAATCAAAACGTTATCAAAGCAATTAAGAACTCATAATCTTTGTTTACTGTATAGGCATTGTTAAGTTCCCTCTTAGTTTAAATCAACTTCGAATGAAGCCTAACTATTATTCAAATTAAATTGATTGTAATTAAAAAGAAAGTGGACTGTATTTTGAAACATTTACACCTACTAATAACGAAAACATAAAATGAAATCAATTTTATACTGGTATCAATAGATAAAATAAATTAATAACTTCTAAAATGAAAATAACTATAATCTGAATACAATGTCAATGGTAATTATGAAATATCTAATAAAAATAGTTGGATGGTAGTAGATGATTCGTTGCCATCGATTCGGCTACAAAGAGAAAGCCGACCGAGCTAACTCGTGAGCACCGTGCGTTGCTCGGCAACCAGATAACCAGAAGTATGAATTCGAAAAATAATTACGAGTTTAAAACCCGGTGACCAGTAGGACTTTTAACTCGGCATAATTTCCCATTCTCTCATCTGGCCAAAAAAAAAAAAAAAAAAAAAAACCGAACCAAATTTGACCCTTGATGTCTGAAACGTAAAACGCGAGTAGAAATTTTCGATTATGAGTACAAACATTTTTTTTTTTTTAAGTCTTGCACGAATACAAAGCTTCCCTCCCTTCGGTAGCGAGGAAGCAAAATATATTTTAGTTATCTTCTTACGTTTCGGGACAATTTTCCTTTCATCAGAGCAATCTTTATCCTCACTGAAATTATGTACACTTTATATTAACTTTTTTTTAACAATATCATTCTACTTAATCCATTGCACAATTATTTATCTTTCTTTTGACGTGACAAATATTTGATTTTTGACGAATAGTGCCACATCAAAAAAAGAAAGGCAAATAATTGTGCAATGGATTGACTAGAATGATATTGTTAAATAAAAGTTAATATAAAATGTGCATAATTTCAGTAAACATAAAGATTGCTCTGATGATGAAAAAATTGTCCCCAAAACGTAAGAGACAACAAACGTAATTAAAAGAATTTGAAGAAAATTTGAAGTTTTATTGCCTTAAATATGAAAAAACTAAATATTTTATTATGTTTATTGCACTTAAGAAATTGTTTCTATAGTTTTAAAACATTTTATTTTATTTTTCTATATTATAATTTTATAATAATGATATATATAATAAAATAATAAGATAATAGTTATACGAAACGAACCTATTTCACTGGTCTAAAACCTCCTTATTTCTAATGCTAAGCGACTTGGGCCACACACAGGAGTTCCGATGATCGAACCAATGCACTGTGGGACGAATAATCAATCAAGGCGGAAAAATACTTGATATTTTATTTTATTCCAGCTGTACAGGCACATGGTATTCTACTAATTTATATACCTAAAAAAAGGGAAAAAGTAAGCAAACAGGTAGTAACAATAAATAAATAAATAAATAAATATATATATATATATATATATATATATATATATATATATATATATATATATATATATATATATACATATATATATATATAAATATATATATCCTAAAAAAAGGGAAAAAGTAAGCAAACAGGTAGTAACAATAAATATATATATATATATATTCGCATAGCATATTTTTATCAAATGCCAAATTAATAACAAAATAAAATAATGCAACGTATCAAAAGATAAAGAAATCAAATGTTACTTTATCGACTTAGTATTATATAATCAACAACGAAAACAAAAATTAATTTAAATCTTCATTTTTGTTTGAAACCAACATGTTTACAAATTTCAGTAAGCTATGTCTTTAATAAAAATTGTCCGATTTCGATGCTTTTTTTTTTTTCATTTTGTAGGGAATTTAGTAATCTTTTATATAATCATGGGTATAAACCAGGAAAAAGTGTGTATTTTTTTAGTTATTCGCAAATAAAGTTTCTTTTCTTTCATAACTTTTTTGCCTGTATTTTCGGGGTGATTGGACTAGTTTTCCCGCCTGAAGGAGAAGGAAGCCTTTGAAATTGGTGGCTCAATCTTGAGATTTGATGAAAAATTAACGATGATATGGCTTACAGATCAAAAACACCATCGATAAATAATATAAATCCTCCTGTCTCGACCATAGAGGCCTCAAGTCGATGAATTGAGACGCGTATTCAATGAGAGTACTACAATTAATGTTAGGTAGTGTGGATGCGAACCTTATGCCTTGCGTTATCTCGAAAATAGTACGTTTTCGGGCTTAAAAACGCAGGATCCGATAGTTCAGGAGGAACTATCCGGGTTTTGCTGTACGCATCAAAATCTTCAATATCCAATTTGTCCCATATCTATCTACAGACCTTCCACCGTTCCTGTAATGAAGCCTAGCAAAATGTTTGTATCGACTTTATTTATTTTAGAATGAAAAACAAAATTGGAGAATACGATTTGTTAACCCTTCGAGAAATTCTGAATCCAACGGTACCCCATTCATGGTATTTGAGCATGACAGGAGCTTATATTTGGTACAAAACCGATTTCAAACGTTACTGTAGTAATATATGTGGGGATGGAGATGGGGATATTTACAACTTTTTTTTGATCGACCTTTGAGTAGTAAATTTTAACATAATTATTTAATTGAGAATAAGGTCACTTATTAATTATTCAATAAACTACTAAATGTTCATTGCTTCTGTGTTTATTCGACGTTTCGATTCCGGTTTTTTTATTAAAAGTACTTGAAAGCCTTCAGTGCTCGAACCACGCCAAGATGATGACCCACATTTTTGGTTTGAAACGTCGGCACAATTTATTATTATCTTCTAATTAAACGTCCATCTTTTATCTCATTACGTCGATATAAAAAATTTATTCACCTAGATTGGTCATTCGTCCCACAATGCAATGGCTACCACCCAATCCTTAAAGTTTAACTGAATGAAATATTCTTTTGGGTTTCGCCTCATCGGGAAGTTGAATATTAAGTTATGTCTTAAATAAGATTTCAGTTTACAAGATTACAGTTTTGTTTATAGTTTCAGATCTCGATGTAGAAGAAGATGGTGACGACGAAAACATAAATGTGCTCGATATAAAAGGACTACGCCGATGTGGAAATAACCTTTGCTGTAAAATGCCTGCATATTGCTGTTCCGGTCCCGCCTGCTGCAAGAATAAAAGGTACACCAATTTTTATGATAATTTATTTACTTTATTTATATTTTTTCGATAATTTTAATCTTCTCAATATGTTCTGTCCACAGGAGGTTTCCACCACTTCCATGCTGAATTTAAGAATTTTATACTTTTTTTATATTTTATAATCTTTCGATACATATATGTTATGAATTTTATATAATTTTATCGATATTTTTATTAATATATTGCATCATCATATAACAATTCATGTGTTTTATTTAATTACATTGTACCATAATAAAATTCAGTGAAATATTGCATATTTAACAGTTTCATATATTTTTGTATTTAATTTTAACTTAATTTAATTTAATTTATTTATTTGGTATTTTGTTGCCTCTACCCTGTAGGGCCATTGGCAACGCCTTTAAATTACACTCTGTTGCAGAGTTTTATCACTTTCGTTAATGATTTCGTCAGGGTCAGTTATAATGTCTTGTCCACTCTTTATATCAGCCAATTTCTTTGTTTTGGAGATCACCTTAATGCTTTCCACTTTATTCCAGAGCTCCTTCATTGAAATGCTTTGATTTAATGAACATACGAAGTCTTCCCATGACGATCTTTTGCTTTTCGGTATATATCGTAATCTTTGTATCTCACTGTTTGAGTTTCTTGTAAGTGTGTTTCTTGCAGACAAACTAGAATAAGGTTCTCTTCGCTTATTGTCATTTTTAGGTGCTCTAAATGTCGGAAAAATCTGTTGAATGATTGTTTTCATTTTGATTGGCAAAGTGTTTCTTATTTCCCAGATTATTATTATCACCATGTGTTATTTTTAAATGCTCGGTAATGTTCAAGGAGTGCTCATTCAAAATCTTTATTAGTTTTGAGGTTCTGATTTTTAGCCCTCTATGTGATACTGTGTCTCTGATATCTGAGAGCATTGTTTTAAGACCGTTTACATTTTTTGTAAACTGAGACATGATATCAGTAGCGTTTGATTCATTTTCTCCCTGAGTCATGTCGAGTAATAGGCATATTTTTTCGTAAGTGAGAGGGTAAGTGCTTTTGTTGCTTAAGATCATGGTTCGCACGGGTCCAAGTATGGTTTCAGTGGTATTTCTGGGAAATTTAATTTAAATTTAACTGATTTATCAAAACTAAGGAAGTCTCAGCAAGACCTTAAAATGTATCTAAGGTACAGCACAAGGAACATCTTACAGCATATATAAGAAAGAAAACAATTTTTAAAACTTGGAAAAAAAAAACATATAACACATGGATTACAGGTAAATCTCTAAACTAGTTATAAAATAATTAGATGTAACAAATAATAAAGAGAAAAAAATAAGGTATGTCCTAGAGAACATGATAGAAGTGAAAACATCAAAAAGATGAGATTAATAATATAAAATATAAATTATAAGCAATAGCTTATACAGAGAGGAAAAATTGCTGAACATTTCCCTGGCTTAGAGTATGCAGGTCCATTTTCTACTTCTTGGGATATTTTAATCTATGTTTTCAATAAAAGCAGTTATCATTTGGTATACCTCTCTAATACGGTGTCGCGTTAAAATAAAATTTTTAACAAAAGCTTATTAAAAACAGGATAAAGTGATGAACATTTACCTTGCCAAAAATATGCAAGATTTTTAGATATTGTGCTATTTGAATCCAAATGCAAAAACACTTCACTTCACTTAGTGGACTCCGGCTGACTTTACCCAAACGTTACACATCGGACATCTGACGGCTCAGTCTAATTCACTCTCCACAAAAAAATTGCAATTTTTCAATAATAAATAAAATAGGAAAGGCTAAAAAATGAAAATAAAGATAATTTTCTTTGAATAAAAACAATCATTAAATATTGAATAAAATAAATGATAAATTACTTTAACTTAAATCTCTATGAAACTGTTCAAATTTATTCAATCTAAACCAATGATAAATAAGTAAACGTATTACTAATATTAAAAGTTATATAAAACAAAATTTTCAACCTTACATGCTGATTGTGCTAATGTTAGGTATTACGAAAATGCTCGTCTACCAGCTCAGACAGGCCGATTTAAGGTTTTAGGGACATGTGAACACATCAAGAAGATCAAAATGTATAGACATTACTGAACAATGGAGAGCATAAAATGCTCTTGCTTACAATATACAGATCCAAATTTTAGTTTCTGAGATATTTTAATCTATAATATTTTTAAGTCAACCAATTGAAATATTTTTGTATATGGATAAAAATATTTCCGAAACTGAAGATCGGTAAATAACAGTCCGATTTTCATGTTTTTTTTTTTTTTGTTTTGTAGGGAATTCAGCAAATTTTCAAATTGGATCTAATCAAGAAAAATATGTATACTTTTTAAGTAATTCGCAAATTAGTTTTTTATTCATAACTTTTTTCCCTGAAATTTCGGGTGGATATCACTATGATTCGTCACTGCTCCATTTAATACCCTTCCATTTGATACCTCATTCATCAAAAACCATCGCTCCTTAGAACCGGGAAAGGGATCGTTACGGTAAAAAACTGTCGTATTATATTATAAAGATAGATTTTAGCTTTAGAAATTTAATGAAAATAAAACCAAGTTATTTATTAACAGAAATTAATTTAAAATAATAAATAAAAAAATCAACGCTGCGAGCGTTAAGAAATATAATTAATGATGTTTAATCAAATAAAATAAGTATGATAATATCATCTATAATAGAAGAAAATCCGGTTTAGAGTATTCTTATTCGATAAATATTGTTACAATAATTACTTTAAATTCTGTCAGACCAGATGGAAATATCGATAGGTACGAATAATGTAAGATTTTTAAAATCTCTTTTTTTATTTTTTTCAATCAATTTTAGATAACAAGGTGTCTAGGAGGATACCAACAATAAGAATAAGATATAACTGAGTTAGTAAACAAAATAAGATAATATTATAGTTTAGAATACAATTATAGAATTATATTATAGTCTAGTCAAGACTATACAAACATAAAAAAATGTAGAAATGTAGGGAATAAAATAAATAATATAACCGATGATAAATAATAAATACAAGAATAAATTAATTAAATAATTAATAGTAAAGAATTAGGTGACCGTTGATGAATTGGTTTGAAAAATAGTTTGGTGTTGTAATCACACTAATAAATGCAATACAAATAAAAAAGTATATATTTTAGTGTATGCCGATGTTATGGCCTAAGTTTCAGTCCTTCATCAGAGCTAAGAAGAGACCGTGTAACACCTGTATAAAAAAATAACATAGAAACTAAGTTCTAAATGGATTATAGAGCCAACAAAAAAAGGAAAAAACCGAATGAAATAAATAAACTGAACAATATACTAATTTTAAAAATACGTTCTAACTGATTAATGGTTAAAAAGATCTAACTAAATATGATATAAGGGAACATAATGACACACACATGTATATATATATATAAGCAACCAAGAAGACATTGAGAAACTCACTAAGAATCTGGATAAGAGAAGCAGAGTAAATAAGCCTTAAGTCAATGAAGATTGTTTCTGAGATCAGAAAACTAATGCTTCGAGAATAAATATCAATAAATAGCTGCTAACAAAAAATCGTCAACCAATATCACTTGGTATGAAGGCAAGGAGGTTAAGATGTACGGGCCATGTAACTAGGAACAATCCATCTGCGAACCCCTACCTTACAATCAATATCTAAATAGAAGGCAAAGGATCATGTGGAAGGCCAAAAATCAGATGGATAGATAATAAAATAAGATGAGTAAGTCTGATTAAAACAGATATAATAATAGAAAAAATATACTAAACAAAAATTATATATATTAGTGATGGCTTGATAATAGAATTTTTTAATCTAGATACAACTGATACTGGTACTTTTTTGTACTTTCTGATACTTTTGTAGTTTGTCATTATCTTCCTATTAATTTGGTTCTGAAGGAGTATTACATTAATACTATGGTTTGTTATTCTATATATATATATATATTTGTTAAACTTAGTTATAAAGAGTTTTTTTTTAATTGCTACAAACATCTTTAGAATCTTTTATCGGAAAAAATTTTACTCAGCATGAATTTGTAATACTTTTATTTTTAATTAAATATAGTCCATTCATGTCAAATATAAAATTATTTTGTTTAAAAAAAATTGTGTACACATTTGCATAGTACCTGACGTAACTATATAGTCATTAAAACTATTTAAGTTGAAAATGGTGTAAAGTATTTATTACAGGGACAGATAATAATAATTATGATAGGGAATATTAATATCAATTAATTCATATTAATATTAATTTATATTGATATTAATTAATATTAATTATTATATTTATTATAGGGACAGGTAATATTTTCAGGTATGTTATAAAATTATCTAACCTTCAGTGTGTATCAAGTGCAAATGGCATGGGTACTTATATCGGCCCCTACCCCCACTCTTCTCTGTGGTAGTGGCTTAGCTCTGCTAAACTGACGTCATTCTTGAGCAGATATCGCATTTTACCTATTGAAGTATTTCTCTTTCTTTTGCATTCAATCGTTTCTCTCGGTTTTCAAATAGCTATAATGTTTGTCTGCCTCATTTTCAATTTTATTAAAACAATCAACAGACAATTTTAATATACTCTTATCACGCGAATAAATTATAGTACTCTAATACTCTAAATACTCACCAAAATATTAAATGTACAATTTGAATTAAAGCTACATAATTGGTTCAGAATTAAAATAGCGTTTTTGGATGTAGATATTAGTTTGGAATGAATATTTTTTACAAATATTATTATGAATAAACATTATGGGTTAAAAGCAAAAATGAGTATATCAAAACTATACTAAAATAGCAGATGTGAAAATATATTTAATCAATTAAAGTGTAAGTATAAAATAGTAATTACAATTTATAATTAATATTCCTTCGAGCAGACCACTTTTTATTGAATTATTAACATCCACCTGAAACTTTGTAAATAATTTCATCTCATGGTAACCTACAACTATCTTATTTACTAAAACTCTTGGAATTGGGGCGTTTTCAATCTGGAAGTGGGCAAACTTTGCTTATTTAATTAGGTACTAAAAACTCGTAAATACCCGTTTGCTTTCTACTTGGATCATAAGATAATTTGATCACAAAATCGATAAAAAAAAGTGGCCTTCAAAAATATTGAGCAGTTTAGCGTGACCTAGACCCCCAAATTTTCAGTATAACGAGGTTATATAGGACAAACTGCCCAAAATTTTTTGATTTTTGTGATCAAATTATGTTACGATCGAAGTAGAAAAGAAATGGGTATTTTTTTTTAGCACCTACTACCTTTTAGTACGTTTTTAGCACCTAATTAAATAGATAAACTTTGCCCTCCTCCAGATTGA